ACCATGCACCAATTAAGCACCATGCTCGCACGTAGGATAGATATAGATCTCAACGTAAAAGCGGACACGAAACATCACTATGGACGTTGTTCACTCTCGCTATTCTCCGTGGACAGACTTTGTTCGTGTGTCGGGCGGAATCCTGTCTCTTCAGATCATAGTTCGTAGAGGGAGACTCCCTCTACTAACTATGTTCAGATTAACTTGACAATTTTGCGAAAGTACATTAGTTCTGTCACTGACTGCACTTTCGCTAAAAAAAATTATAGCCGATTGCATTAAAAAGTATTTTTACCAGCCAATCGGATTTCCAGAACGCAACGGCAAACAAGACAAATACCTTGTGTTCAATCTTCAATGCAGTTTCTGTGATCAAAATATAAAAACCGATTGCGTTCCTTCAATATTCAACTTTGCTGACAGAGATCGACCAAGTTTCGAACCTCTACAGGGCACATAGTAGGCGTACCCGTGGAGATAAATTGGTAAGTTTGACCAAGAACAAATTGAATACGCATTTGGTTTATAAGGTGGTCGTCATTGATGCTGTTAAGAAGTCCACTTTAGCTGTTTAGCAACTTTTTTTGCCGAGGTAGGAGCTTACCATACTTAAAAGTTCCAAAGCCCTGTAATGATTTGGCACAGCCACCTCTTAATTCGGGCACAGGAATTGCCAATTCTATGAACGCAGATATATTTATGTGTCAGTGTGGCTCGTAGGGTCTATGTCCCCCTGACCTCTGTTTGACGTGACTCGTTTAGCTATTTCTGACTAATCCTAACCCTAACCCTATATATATTATAATATTATTAGTCAGAAATAGCTAAACGAGCCAGGTCAAACAGAGGTCAGGGGGACATAGACCTTATCTGCGTCAGTGTGCAGCGGCAGCCAGCGTTTGTTGCAGATGAGCATTTGGACGGCATTTGCAGGAAATTGTCTGCAATAATAGGTAAAAGAGAGTATAGAGACTTTGGTAGTGAATAGATTTCGTATTTATTTAGCATTATATTTTATTGAAACGCTCCAAGTGCCTGTGTGGTCTACAGCAGCTGCTGTAAACAAACACATCTTTCCCGCAGGCGTGGTTGATACAAATCACGTGCCTCAAATTCCTGTTTTATGCAAACTGCATGCACAAACTGTGCACCTTTGTACACTCAGGATACCACTGCCACAATGCTAGCACATCTGTGCATGTACACGTGGGTGCGTGCGTGGGCATGCACGTACATGCGTGCGTGCGTGCGTGCGTGTGCACGTAAGAGTGCGTGCGTGCGTACGTGTACACGTACACGTGCGTGTGTGCGTGCATGTGCACGTACACGTGCGCGCGTATGCACGTACAGGTGCGTGCGTGCGTGCATGTACTCGTGCGTGCGTGCGTGTGTGTGCACGTACACATGCGTGTGTGTGCATGTACACAGAATATATGTAGTAGGCCTACATATACGTACTGAACCGAGAGCGCACGCCGCACTCGAGATTTCATAGATTTTTGTCACAAATGACCCGGTGATCTGTGACGTCACACAAACCTTTGGCTAACTACGAACTGGCTTATTGCAGCTCACGACATATCTGCTACATGAGCGGGCCGCCGCCGTCGTCGTCGCCATGTCTCGTAGACTAATGCTGCAGCTCGCGTCGCTGCCAACCGTCGCCTGTCGGCAGGCGCTCCGTCCCCGCCGCTCCCCTCTCCTGCGGGCCGCCAGTACGGCCGGCGTGTCGCCGAGTTGCTGTCCCCTGCATACGTGCAGCGTCCTCGCGCGAGGTGACGCTGAGGCGGTGCCGGAGGAGGAAGAAGTAGCCTCGGCGGCAGTGGTGATGGAGAAGGAGCGGAGTATGCCAGCTCCGGATGATCCGCTCCTGGTACGGGACTTCCTCGATCCGGCTCGCTTCATCGAAGCAGTGCGCAGCATCGGCGTCGAATTCTTCTGCGGGGTTCCCGACTCCCTGCTCAAGGTAACACGTGGCCGTGACGTATACATTACGCGACCGTATGTCACCATTTTTGCAAGAAGATTGCTTCTGATTGTGATTCCAATTACAATCGCTAAATACATCCCCAAATTCTTAGTCGATAAGATTGTTTCTAAAGTAACTGAAAATACAAAAACAAGTTTCTGGACAACTTAAATTATTGAATAATTGGACCGTGGCTCCTTTGATTCCATGTTCTGCAAGTTATATGAACGGCGACGTCGTGGTTAAAAGTGCGACGAGGTGGCTAAAATGGCGACTAGGTGGTTTTAAAATAAGAGTGACAGCGTGGTTGAAGAAGGTCAACGTCGTGGTTAAAAAGCAAAGCGTCGTAGTTAAAAATTTGTGACGTCGTGGTTGAAAAAAAGGTGACGTCGTGGTTGAAAAATGGTGACGTCGTGGTTTAGAATGGATTAAAAACACACGACACGACGGCAGTTATATAACACCGATGTGCGATGTCGTGCGCGACGTCGCATGTAGATGACCGCGGCACCGAGTAAGCTGCGCGATTGCAATTATCGAACATGATAATTTTCGTAGATCATTGTGTCGAGAAAATTTTTTGGCTAGTACTATTTACAGTGACCCATTGATTTTATGACTGGTTCGGCGAGCGCGTATTATAGCGTAACACAGATAAAGTGAAAATAAACATAAGAGTGCATCAAGAGAACACAAACTATATTAACAACTAATAATGAGGAACTGACAGTGCATCTGCTCATTATGTGTGCTCAGTATAATTATTTATGTTCTTATGCAGTGTATGTAGGATATGTTCTTAGTATATGCGCTAATTATATTTGCTGTGTAGGCCTACCTTTCACCGCCTTTCCCCGAATTATTGCCAAGCGGACGAGCATATGATGCTAAACCCCGATTTTTTTTAAATATCTATTAAATATTTTGTATCATCAACATATATGGGCCCTTTCGTGACTATAGTAGTCTGTACCCAAAACTCTCGCCGTTCATTTTTGATAATTCGTACGTTACCTGGCAGCGTAATATCCGTGTTATAGAAAATTGTAGCGCACCACTCCGACAGCGATTTAACTATTCGTTCGTCTACGTAACAAAAATGTGTCCGTCAATAAAATTTCTAGCGAATAGTAACAGGATAATATCCAAATATATATAATATTAATATTAACGGTTACATGGCACATGAGCACATTTTTTGCCGCTATTGTTCCATGGAGCATTGGCCCTACGCAGCTCCTTTGCTGAGATTTCTATAACAGTCTTTGCCCTGCAAACCTACCAGTAATGGGAGTATGTAAGAGAATTGCGGAATGTATTGCGACGCTGGTATAGCATGTGGATGAAGTAGACTCAAGTAGTGAGTGTTGTGAAGAAGTGAGTGCTACCGCGTTCCAAAAATAATCGTCTTTCTGCAAGCACATTTCCGCAACCGTTCAACGACATATTCAGGGCCGCATAGCCTGCGGGGGGCAAGAGGGGCAGCTGACCATCTAGATTTTGGAGCAAAATTTAAAAAATCAATTGTTCTATTAAAAGAGAATTGTTGTAGTCAGAATGAAGGCTGTACATGTACTCAAAAGTGCCTCAAATACCATCTCCTGCGATCTACATTTTCAAAGTTTTCGGTGGGAGGACCCCCAGACCTCCCACCTGTTTCCACCCCTCTTTTAAATCCTGGATCCGCCACTGCCCCCCCCCTAGGAATTTGCTTAGCCTACGGCTCAGGTATTGTTGTCTAACGTTGTCCTCCTTATTCCATTGTTACAGGATTTCTGCGCGTACGTGACTAGTAAGGTTGCCCGATCCAACCACGTCATCACGTGCAACGAGGGCAGCGCGGTGGCGCTGGCGGCGGGATACCACATCGCCACGGGGCGCCACGGTCTCGTCTACATGCAGAACTCGGGACTGGGCAACGCCATCAATCCATTGCTGTCGCTGGCTTCAACGGGAGTGTACAGCGTGCCGATGCTGCTGCTAGTCGGCTGGCGAGGAGAGCCAGGTAAACGCGGGAGGGGAAGCCTGGTAAAGCGGGAGGGAGCCAGGTAAACGTGGGAGGGGAAAAGCCTGGTAAAGCGGGAGGGGGAGAACCAGGTAAACGCTGGGCGAGAGTTAG